AATGACTGAAAAAACTGGCCAAAGGAAGGGCATGTGTGTGTTTGTGTGTGTTTGTGTGTATATGTATAGGTTCTCCAGTTAGCTTAAGAAAATGGAGGAGAAGAGTATATGTAATGAGAGATGAAAGCATGGCTAACTGAGATGTCCACACTGAAGAGATATTCCGAAGCGGACGAGGACAGCAGATATGTATGGATGGCCCACACATATAATATATATATGATGATATATGATATAAATATCGACCCTTGTGGTTATACTAGTTTAAAGCTGGACTAAACAATGTTTCATCAGTCACTCATAGCGATAAACCCAAAGATAATTATCACCCAATTCTGCTGGTCCTCTTGGGTCTACAGTGCATTTTAGTGTCTTACAGCTCATTGTTTTGGTTTTACGATCCACAACTGTGCTGTTTTGATTCAGTCTTGCTGCTCTCATTAGCTTCGTTTCCAACAGACACAGGGTTTTCAGCAAAAAAAGCAAACTCCTATATACTATACTGCCTAGCACCAAATGGCACACATAGCATTTAGCAGTTCAAAAGTAAATTGAATCCAGTTTAGCATATCAGTGATGGATCCTTCTAATGACACACCAAATCACTAAAACATGCATGTGTCAAATGCAGAGAATGATTATCAGATATAACATATAAGATTCAAGTGTGAACAGGTCACAGTCCTTAAGTGACCCGCATGTGGACTGTAAACCCAGAGTGTATGAAAATTCACACTAAGGTCACATTAAGACCTGTATCTGATAAGGACCACATATGCAAGTGGCCCAAATCAGAATTGAAGAGATCAGATTCCATGTGATTTGTGCTGCTGTCACTGCTGTGAAAAAGTCAGATCTGAGTCACATATGAGCAAATGAGAGCGGTGAGAGTGAACCAAAACAGTAAAGTTTTGGGCTAGACAGCAAAACAATGAGCTGAAACACACTATAAAGCTCCATAAAGCCGAGGGAAGCTGCTGAGTCGGCTGATAATGTACGTTCATCAGGAGGCCTCTCACATCACACACTGTCATACATTATTATGACAATATTGATTATAGCCGCTGAAGTGCACAATGCAATACACACACATTATAGTCAACTGAAGCACACAATTCAACCTTTGTGAAGGGAGAGATCCATCTTTAACAATCCAAAAATGTATGGTTCAAAAACTACAAATACAAATCTGGAACTTTGTAACTTTTGTATAAAAAAAAAATATATATATATATATATATATATATTTTTTTTTTTTTATGTACACAAATATATAAATATATATATATTATTTTCCAATAAAAAATGTACCTCCTCCCCCTCCTATACCTCTTTTTGTGAGTGTGTATTTCTAGTATTATTATTGTAACCGTGGTCAGAAATATTGTTTTACCTGTGACCATTTTGGGTGTGCAGGATATAAGATACACATTCATACACAAATGTGATTCAGTTTGACCCGTTCCTGTTCTTCTGTTCTCCTTATTCTTTAATGGCAGCTTTCCCCCGTGTACATAACGAGCTGTGCTAACAAAGCTTCACGTGGCAGAAGAGAAATTCCTCATAGTCTTTTCCAAAGGGGAATCTCAGAGTTACAGGTTGTAACTCATACTGTTCCACTCCAGGTAAACATGTGTGAAAGAATCAGGCAGTCTTATTACTCTCTTTTTCTGAGCTGTCATCTAATACCTCCTGGCTAAATCAGGTGACGAGAGTCCCATGTGGTGTGTTGGTTGGGACAGACAACACAAAGATTACAGCGTCATTCCTTTCAAACTAGTTTTGTTGCATTGATTTCATTTGTCACTGGAAAACACACTCAAAGGAATGTGCATGTCCACACAAATACACAAGTTAAGTACCCTTAATAAATCGGCTCTCAAACATAATCCCTCTGCTTTGGATGTTGATTACGCTGCTTTTATCACTGCCAGTTCCTGTGGTAGTCAAATGATTTCAACTTTTACTTGTCAATTTCAAATATATTAGTAAAATTCTTCAAAAATTTCCCTTGTTTTTCTTTGGTTTTCAAAGACTTTTCATTACAAAAACACACTTTATGCTTTTGCTTGTCATAGTAGGAAAGGCACAGGCATTATTAATAGCATTAATGATGGCTCGATTCTATTCAAGGCCCCATTCCCACTTGCAATAAACATGTGGTCTGTAACTGGATCTACATTATCTGGAGAATGACATCTGATCCATGGGCTTCTGCAATTACACCTGGTGCGAATACGTGTTGACTTGAAGTCGATTCTGCCCCACTGATCAGATTTCAATATGCAAATCAATTGTCAAACACAGCTGTCTCAGGTCAAAGGAAGTGCTGCCATGGACAGGCGTCATTCATTTTTAAATAGCTTTTTGCGAGGGAAGACTTGCTAGCACACTTTACAGATTGAATTTAGACCTGGCTGAGGTCCGATCACAATGCATGCCCCACCGCCTACACATTTGGTCTAGGCCAGCGTTTTTCAAAGTGGGGGTCGGGGGGCCCCTTGGGGCTGCCATGGGGTGCCAGGGAAGATGATAAAAAAAAAAAAACATAAAAAAAAAAAAAAAATTCAATTACTAATCCTGACCTCCCCTATTCTAATGTGTATGCTTATAAAAATATGATTAATAATAGTAATACATATAAGACGTATTTTTGGATGTTGAATCTAATGTAAAGATTCAAGATTTTAAACACAAATGTAATAATATTTAAAAGGACTGTTCACTCATGAAGTACTTTAGAGGTGCCTTACTTGAGTATTTTTATACTTAATACTCTCCATGTAAATGTTTGTTTGTGTATTGATGAAACAACCTCATCAATATTTTAATTAGTGAGCGCTAGAGGTTCTTTAGTTTTCCTGCTGGACACAACATGTCTCCTATTTCATTGGATTGGACTTTAAACTATTAATGATATCACCAATCCTGCTGGTAGGCCCCGCCCCTTAAAATCAGATGTTCAATGAGCACAGAGAAACTTTCTACTTTCAGCAGATGAATGTGAAAACATCCTTCTAGTGTCAGACTCTGCACAGACAGCATTCAAACAGCACACTGAAAAACACATTTTGGACTGGAGGGGGACTTCCCTGTTTAGCATTTAGTATTAGAACTGTATTTTTCATAAGACACTTACATCTAAGTAAAAACTCATTAGTAGTAATTGTGGAGGGAGGTGTGTTTGCTACAGAGTCAACAGAAGAGAAGACAACACTAAGTGCTGCATATAGATGTGTGTGTACTGTGGTTTCCCAGAAAGTCATTACCCCTGACAGTGGTCTGCCTCACCCTGAGGTGCTTCGCTTCACAATTTGCTACACTGGGGCTGTTTCTACTTCACTGTTTTCCTCCTCATTCATTCAGCAGCAATGGGCCACAAAAGCAACACAATTACTTAACCATTGCTGCGATGGCTGCGTTTACTCCAAAAACTAAACAAGTACAGGCAAAACTGCTCAGATGAGAACAATGCAAAATGATTGCCACCATCAGACTTGTAAGGGCTCTCTTGTACTACAAACCTCCCCAGGCATGTGAAAGTACAGGCTGAGGAAATACTGCTGCCCCCCCTCCCTGTTTAAAAGTCATTACCCATCCTCCACTCTCCTGTTACAGCCACGCAAACGCTCACAGCACACACTCCCCAAGGGCTCTCTGTCTGTGTGTCTGTATCAGTGCAGCCTTATCTGTAGTGTGTGTGTGTGTGTGTTGATAGGCATATGCTTTGAGTTAATGCAAACATGCATGTATGAGTAGTAATCTATTTTCATTGTTTACGCCCGCAGAATGTGCATTAGTATGTCTTCTGCATCTCTCTAGCAAAGCCTCCCGCTCCAGTCTCTCCATATTTGATGTTGTTTACATTGAAAAGATGCCTCCACCCCCAGCTCTACCACCCCACCACCAACGTGGCCACCGCTTTCCTCCTTCGTATCACTCATATTTGTTAGGTTTACTACTGTCACAGAAAACCATTTCAAAAAGATCCTGAATGTTGCAAATTACAAATAAATTCCTTGGAATAAATAAGAGCTGTTGATGGAATGGAATATAATACTCACTGGTATGTTTTCTTTAGTGTATAACCTGAAAATAACAATTGTTGTGTTTTGTAACACCGTTTTTATCTACAGAGTGAGCGGGTCCCCTTCTACAAGTCCGCCATGTTGAACTGCCAGTAGCCCAGAAAGGACAAACCAAATAGCCTGCTTAATGATTGACATTCCCATCAGCCATAAAGCAGTGAGGTCCAGTTATTCTGGAACTCTCCATAATTTAAAGGTCCAACATGTAGGATTTAGTGGCATCTAGTGGTGAGATTGCAACCCAGTGAATACCCCTCGCCTCACAGTCCCCTACAGTGGGAGAAACTACAGTTGCCACGAAACGTTCAAAAAAAAGGTCAAAGGCCCTATCTAGAGGTAGTGTGGGCTACTATGGCAGTTCAACATGTTGGACTCCGCCATTTTAAGGTAACAAAAACACAACAATTCTAATTTTATTATACACTAATGAAAACATATTATATTATATTCCTGATATTCTGCCAATAGAACCCCCTAAATCTTATACACTGGACCTTTAAAAGTATTTCCGCTTACTGGTTTTATTACTATTTATTTAGGCAATGGAAACGTCCAAATATAAAACATAAACAACTACATTACATCATTTTGGTGTAAGACTTAAATAAAATGTTAGTCTATACTTTCCTTAATCAGTAGCTTTCAATCATAACGGCAAGCACGCCTACAGCTACAATACAAAAATAACTATGCATTAATCATAATATTGAGCTTGGCCACGTTGGCCTAAAATGTATTTTAATTTAATATTTGTAAGTTGTTTTTGAAGAATTGCCGCCAACCCCAGCCCGACTACACCATCCTTTTCCATACTGCGACACCCATTTTGATGTTTATGTGACTGGAGTGTGCTTCCTGCAGCGAGGAGCTCAGGCCTACCTCATTTTCGCCTGGCAGGTCAGCTGCTCTGTGTTTCAGTCTGAAGCCGTTGGCTGCTACTGAACCGTTTGGCTCTTTTCTCTACTAGCGAGCAAACCTACAATCTAGACCCAACTGTCCATCCAGCTCATTTTTAAGGGGATTTATCATTATATATGCCCGTGTATCCAAAACACATCGGTCATTGGGGATTCCTAGCACCGGTTGGCCGGGTCTGAAGGCCGTTATAACGCTTTTTCGAGGTTTAATTAGAGCCAGAAAACAACGGTGGTGGAGGAGGAGGAGATTCCATATTAGGAGCACAGAGGAGAAGGCACCCCCCTTGTGTGATTTGGAGCTTTTGGTGAGTGTTTATCGTCATTTTACGTTATTATTGCCGTTATAAATGATGCCCCCGTATAGAGTGATGACTTATGGCGGTAAATAGGAGGTTTGGGCGGGTTATTGCGCTGTTTTGAACGTTTATTTTTATATTTTCTGTCGGGGTGGGGGATGGGCAGCGTCAGCGCGTGAGTATGCGCGCGCACGGTGCATGTGTTCGTTCTCGTGGTTGGTTTGTGTTTGTGAGCGCGCGCGCGCTTCCTTCCTGCAACTTAGCTTTGAATTAAAAACACTTCAGTGATTGTAAATCTCAACCAGAAAGGAACCATTTATAGCATACATTCCATGTTTTACATCAACACTGGCAATTCATTTGAGGTGTAAAGTTGTCAATGTTAACTTTTTACTAACCACCACTTTTTTTTTTATTTTAGTTCATTTAGATATTTTTGAATTATGGATTGATGCTTTTATTTCTTACTTTCATGACTTTGTGTTTGAATGCACTTTGTAGCTGTTTTGATAGCTACTTCAGTGTTACAATAATGTTAAAAAAAAACAACAACAAATCAAAACAGAAACTGTAGTTTGAGCAATATTAGCACGTTATCCTATAGTTCCTTACCAGTTTGAAGTGTTGTGTATACAGGCCCATAGTTATCTCCACAGTGTAAGATAATGTTGCTGTTTAACCAACATACTGTAAATGTGCCAAAGTACACAGTATGTCATTATATTGTATATTATTTTATTACCTTTTGAGTAAATCTTATTCAAAGCTTTTTAGAGTGCTTTGCAGCTGGTTGCTCCAAAGCCATGGGCGGTGTGGGGGAGGGGTGAGCACACATGCATTCCCCCCCACACACCCCACACACACACACACACACCCAGGAGGGCCACTTGCCAACCTTGTGAAGCTCATGTCAATGACACAATGTACCAGTCCCAGATAAGGAAAAGGCTCCGGTCCTGTTTACATCTGTACACCTTTTAACATCTTTCTTGGGTGATCCAATTTGACAGACAGCTTTAAGTACAGGTGTGAATGTACCCCAGACTCATTGAGATCAGATGTGTCAGACCACATTGGGAAGTGGTCTGGGCCACATTTGGCCACATTCTTTTAGCAGTGTGTACGCAAATGTGTCCTGGGCCACACTGAAGACCTACACCAGGGGATCCCAAAATGTTTCATGTCAAGGACCCCTACAGTAGATGCACATTGAACCACGGACCCCCAATTTCAGAGGATTATATTAAGGAATCCCATCTGAGTAATTCTTTTTCTTTAGGTTTATAGATTAAAAAAAGGCTTGATAATTAATCTCTGATCAAACTAGAATCACTATAAATTACAACCAATCACAGCCAATCCCGTTTCTGCCCTGGTTGTTCCAACTTCCAAAATGTATGATAAAAGTTCAAATATTCTATCCCCAAACCCCAGTTGTAAAACCGGTGTCATATTAAATTGCGAAACAACCAGAAGAAGCCACAACAACAAGCAAAATGGATACTTGTTGATGGAGTACACACGAAACATCCTCCGTCCTCCATCTGTTCTGCCTCAACTCTGTGATTTACTGAGGTTTCCTGATGGACAGATATCACTATTAGTTGCTAAAGTGTCCACTAACTGCTGTTGCTGTTAACTTTAGCTGCTGTTAGCTAGTTTGCTCAGTTAGCCGTGCACCTTTCTTTCCAACTGTATGACAAGAATATTTAATCAGCTTTTTTTTGGTTTGGATTACGATCACTGACTACTGTCTAGTCATTTCCTCACATGCAAGTGCACAACATATGTGCATGTCAGCAATCAGCTGGGTGTCAGTCTTTGTGGTGTATTCAAGAAGTATTCATAACACATCCTCCGTTCGTCGTTTGTGCTTGTGCACTGAGGTAGGCTGAGTGTGTCATGCAAGGACACCGGCCAATCACACAGAATCAAGTGTATTTCATGGTCACTGATGTACGTAATCTGTAGCTGTTAAATGCTGACAGATGTTAGGACAGGTGGATGTTCACATTGTTTTAGAAACTTTAACAGAAACTCCAATGTCATTTGTAGCTTTTCAGACTACTGAAAGAAATGTTATATGCATAAATATAGTGAGGCTAGTCCAGAAGTGGAGTGTGACTTTGGCTGTGTATGAGGATGTCCCTCTGAACATAAAAAACACAATTCACTGAGACTGTAGGAGATAAGTTTCCCTAGATATACCTGGTATTTTTGTATTTGAAGGAATCCTTTTTGCGCAACTCATCAGACGTGGGTTGGGCTCTGGTGTAAAAAGGGCTCCTGTGTCCATCATAGATGACCCACATTAAAAACAGGGTCCCACCTGCACATGTAAAGTGAATTGTTTGGTCAAAAAAGTCTCAGCAATTAGTTGGTTGATCAGATGCAGCATGTGGCTCCCCTGTGCTCTGGTGCTGAACATTTTAGCAGGTCATTCGATTTAGTAAATAAAATTCCTCATTTAGGCTCCATCTATATTGCATTACAGGGTCCGTGATAAACACACAGCTCCCACTGCTCTAGCACAAAAAGTAAAGTGTTATGCTCAGATTTATGCATGGTGATGTTGTGTTGCTTACAATATTACAGTATATTGAATTGACACATGTGGTTTGCGATTCATATCGAATCGCCAAATTCTTGCTAACACACTGCCCTAGGTCTGATTGGCTGTGTGTAATGTAGCATTTAGCTATTTCAAAATATGTCTCTGCTTTAAATCCTGCCAAAACATGATCCATAAGGACTTGAGAGCCAGAGGGTGGCCGGTTCCACTCCAGCACGTACGAGAATGTGGGCTGGTAGCTGGGGAGGTGTAAGCAACAGATGATCTTAGATCTTAGACGATAAGGAATGGAAGTAGTAAAAAGCTTCGTGAAAACAATGAAGTGATCAGTTGTGACCTCAGTTATGGATGTGTCAATTCTTGAGCAGTGTTTGTCTTTTAAAGATAAATAATATGACAGTGGAAGGCTTTGAATGACATTACATTTTACAATATCCTGAGTTGATGCTTGACAGAAAAGTGCGAAGATGCATGAAATCTGATATTATATCTGCTAGAATCTGGTATGTGACAGCTGATGGCAAGACCACCTTTTATTAACCAACAAAGTTGTTGACCGTCCTTACATTGGCCCATTTTCCCTGACTGTGCTGCAAGCAGGGTTTCCAATAATGACTGTATTGTACCTGATGCCACAATTTCAAATGAGTCAGTAAGAGAAATCACTCAGTCTGTATAGTCACTTGTTTCTTTTGCAGCTTCAGTTTGGTCATAAGGAGTGAGAAGGAAGCTAGACATATTCATTTAAATCTTCTATAGTGCAGCTAAGCTGTGACCAGAAGGGCATTTGAAACATAATGTGAACACTGGTACTGGGTTTGCTTATTTGTCCTCAATGTTGCATTTCCAGTGCAAATGATGAGCATAGGACACAAGAATATGGTTCTTTACAGAGTAGGCAGCTGAGTCATGTTATCTACACAGGACACATTGATTAGTTGGCCTTATTGAATCACAGAGAGGGTGGTTAGAGTAGTACAGTTATGTAACCAGTGCTTGTCAGTGTTGTGAATTGAAAAGGGAAAGACAAAATGGACAAAGAAGTGCAGTGAGTGAAAATGTCTTCCTTAGGTAACAGCTTGACATGAGGAGGAAGAGACACAAATATGGAACAGCCCTGGACCCTGTACATGTGAGAAGATGAGGAGAGATATTAGCTGTGATTTCTAATGTAACTGAACCTAACCTTAATTACGAGTACATACTTCCTGAACATAATTTTGGTGATGCTGGTAATCAGAATGGACTGGTTGTAGCAGTGACGTATGGTAAAAACAGCTATATTATATAACATTTTGGCATTAAAATGTTGATAAATACTAGACCTGTAGTTGAGTTGTGCACTCACATTATCTCAAATGTTTCCAACAATGTTCAAACCCAGATAAATCCGGTCGCCTGTCAATGATGCCAAATTCCCTTTGCATGCATCAGCGTTGTGGCTGTCTGCCGGAAGCTGTCATATTGACTTTTAACCCAGGTTTAAGCCACATTTTTACGCTGTACTTTCTAGATCTTGGTTAACTATATATATAGATATATATATCTATATCGATCTATATATATATCGATAGATATATCTATATAGATATATAGATATATATAGATATATATCGATCGACCTATATATATATATATCTACACTATATATATATATATATAGTGTAATCAGATGAAGGACTTCAGTTTAACGTTAGCAGCAGCTCGACTCGCAGCCCCTCCAGGACGTCCTTTGTCTGCTGAACATTGTTGGAGAGAAACACTATTAAGGTTAAACTGCTTCATTCAGTGTCATCAAACTTTGTTTTTTTTGTTATTGTTTTGATGTGAGAGACCCCGTAGCGACAGAAATTACTTATTGTATCTTTAACTAGTGTGTGTTATACAATGCAGTACAATAACAGCACAAAGTACAGCCTCAAACGGGTTAAGTCCCAACCTGCTGATGCATTGTTAAAAATCATCCTGTTAGCTGATATTGTGTAGTCTTTACATAAATAATTTATTTTACATAAAACCAGATTGTTCTGGAAGACATGAGCGAGTCAAGACCAGCTTGTTTATATACTAGAGCTAAAGGATTATGAGGATCATTTTCAGTGTCTGTGTGGGTTTCCTCTGGGTCTCCCGCTTGACGTGCAGGTTAAGTGAGTTGGTGACACTAAATAAGTGTGAATGGTTGTGTATCTGTATGTGTCAGCACTCTGATAGTCCATTGATATGTCCAGGCAGGGTGTACCCTGCCTCTTACCCAGTGTGTGCAGGGATAGGCTCCAGCCTCCATGACCCTGAGCAGGACAAACTGGTGTAGGCAGATAAGGTTTACTTTGAACTGGATTTTTCTTCATCTGGCTGCTGAGAAAAATAACCAGCTAGCATTGTTATATAATGTACCTTGAACTATGCCTGGCAGACGTCTAGAACACCGGGAAAAAAA